ATTTGAGTGCAGAATATATGAAGAATTGATTAGGTAACCTAACAAAAAAATGGATGAAAGACTAATATACATTTCACAGAGACTTTCCAAATGACTAACATACATCAGAAGTGATGCTTGAGCTTAAAGGTGAAAGATTATAGATTATAATCACAATGATATTATCAAAACACATCCTACCACACTGGCAAAAATTTTAAACTCTCACAATACAATGGACGGGGTGGAAAGGAACAGTGGGAACTCTCTCACAGTGCTGCTGCAAGTGGCAATTTAGCATTATCTACAAAAGCCGGACATTTATACACCCTGAGACTCGGCAGTCTAAACAGAAACATGTGCCCATAGCCAAACGGTATGGACGTGATGTTTGTCTACTTAAAACTTAATAAATGGGTCTCTATAAATTGTTTTTAAAGGTATTCACAGAAGATATTCATAACATCGATGTTACTCAATGAATCAATTTCTTGATGATTGCTTCAAAACACCAAATAGTCCCATTAGATACTTTCCCTTAATTGTTAGATGATTGGATTCTTGGTTTTACCTGTAATGCAGCCTGTGCCAGCATTTAAAAGTAGAAAAGAGGTAAGTATTCATAATAAGCAAAAATGATATCACCTTCTTTAATGGGAAAGAGTTCAGAATTATTTAAAGTCAGAAAAGTTAACCTCGGATTTAATAAAGTCTATATAGATTTCAGTACAACAATGAGCCTAAAATCAACTCTTTGTGTATACAGAATATAAAACAATTAGAGGATGCATAATACTTATTTTAAGTTTCAGTAAGGAAATATTCACATATTTCTATTAAAATCTTTCATTTTAACTACAAATGACTAGCCTCAAATTTTTAACAATCTTTCAAGGGCAGTGCCATTAAAACAAGTTACATAAACAAGAGTGAATCTAACTTTAAGAAAAGAGTCTCACAAGATGAGAAAATCGTCACATATCAAAAAATAAGTTTCCTTAATTTTATTATGGGCTTCACTTTCACTATTTTCACTGACACATTTTCGATATCAAATTTAGTTTTGCTGGCATTTTAAATTCTCAGTAAGCCATCACAAAGCTTGGTTTGACTGTTCAATACCAAGAGATGAGAAGATCATGAAGCAATGCCGGGGACACTGTGGCACATAACTTGTGTTACTGCCTTTACCTTCATACGGCTCTCCTTCACGCAGTAACAATAATAATACATAACAACCAAGGACTCATGAGGGAGGGGAAAAGAGAGGAGCTGACACCAAGGGCTCAAGTAGAAAGAAAATGCTTTGGAAATGTTGATGGCAACATACAATTGAATGATGGATTCTTATAATATTTGCAAGAGCCCCCCAATAAAATGATTAATAATAAAAATAAAATGCATATATAATGAGGGGAAAATCTGTCCTCTTATTTTCAGATTACTACATAAAATATGTCCACAATAAAGTATTATTAGATTGAATTTCAGGTATAGAATTTCAGGTACAGAATTTCAAATCTTTTAGCATGCAAAAAATTTAAAAACTAGTTTAAACTTTAAGTCCTTGTTTTAAAAAAATGTATTTTTCAAATGTTAATCAATCAAGGCTTGGGAAAATTAATATGAAACGCAAATGAGGTTTGTGTGAAACGAGCCTTAAAGTGACAGCAACTCTAACATTCCAAAATACCAAATTCACATAATAACCCTATAGTGCACACACACAGACACACACACATGCACACACATTCCTTTGTAAAAAGAAATTATTTTTCAGCGTTCTTAACTGAAAGAAATTCTTTTCATTAAATTCTAACTAAGAATCACTTTTAATTTACTTAGAGCCAGAAGAGGCTGATGGTTCAGGAGTATGGCTTTCAAATATACTTGATATGAAAGAATAATAAAATACATACCTTAATAACAGAAAAATCACTCACTTTTTATAAAATGAGAGGAATTCATCAACACTATTATTAAAGCAACTCATAGAGGTTTTTCCCCAACACATGGGAACTTTGCTGAAATCAATAACCAAACAAATGCATATAAAAGGATCATTATCTCCATCAGCTTTCTCCCTTGGGTACCTTTTGTTGAATGGTGGAATGTTTTTGCTCCATCTCTCTTTTCTCTTTTGCTGCATCTACAACTAGTCGATCCAACTAAAAAAGATAAAAGGGGAGAAAAGTGCAGCCTTAAAAGTCAAAGAAAAATTAACCCACATGATTATTCCTGTCAATTCACATGTAACAAAAGAAGCCAGTCACTTAAACTTTGCTTGACAAGACCAATTGGTTACCACTTTGGAAGTTTGTTTTTTCTGGTATCAAATCCTCTAGGAAGAGGCCCACATTTCCATGAAGGAAAGCATTTCCAACAACAGTCAGGATACCAAGCACATGTGGGAGGAGGCCTTCCCAAAAGCACCGCAGTGATGGCAAGTTCAGTCCTTGAAATAGGGGAGTGGCGGATCCTCCAGCAAATTCTGGCAGTCACAACAGAAGATGGAAACGAGATATTTGTGAGGTTTTTCCCAAATAGCAAAAAGTAGCTGCTAACTGGTTTTTTTTTTAAGCTGCTAAGCTTACCAGCTCACAGTAGTGGATACTTCCAATCACTCATTCCAGCTGCTTCATTTTTGAAGTTGGCTCCCTAATGTTATGGTCAAATCTAATTTACTAATTAAAAAAGACTAAAATAAAATAACAATGGGATAAAAATTACTTCTAAGATCCAGGTATAAAATCACCTATTTTTAAGAAATTTGCATTATATGTGCTATAGAAATGCACTAGCTTCCTGAACTCTTATTTGCTAGAGTAATAAACATTTGAGGTATAAAATAGCCCATTATGTGGGTCTCCACATAATGGATTTAGATCGCACCTATGCTACTCTAGGATCTAATACATGCATGCCTTTGTGACATGTAACATGACCAAACAGGTGATGCTGGCATATGCTGCACTAGGAAAACGTATGCCCTCACATTATATCATGGTTTTTAAAGTGTCTAATTGAATGGAGTAAAAATATGATTCACTCATTAAGGCAAAAGTATAGTACAAGGCAGCTTTTAAGATACACAGCAATAATTAAACCCTGTGTGTATGTACCTTACACGTGGGTACTGCAGTGCAGACACTGCTGCCCATTAAACTAGCAGAAAATCCCTCTGCTGCAGCCCCACTCCAACATGGCTGCTCAGCAAAGTGGAGAATTCCCCTATCTATGCTGGGACAGGAAGGGAAAGAAAATGGATCCATCACTTAGGTGGGGGTTTGGGGAAAGAAGGAGTTGAGATGTGAAGAGAATAGTCTTCCCTCACTCACTCACTCATGGTCATGAGTCAGAACCACTGCGTTAATGCTTAACCACTACGCCACCAGGAAGGGTTTAGAACACAGCAGGATGGGTCCCACGTTTGTTGGATATTAAGAGTTTAATAAACCACTATCCCTAGCTAAGGAGCCCTGATGGCGTAGTGGTTATGTGCTAGGCTGCTAACCAAAAGGTCAGCAGATCCAAACCACCACACACTCCACTCTATCCCATAAAGAGTTGTAGTCTTGGAAACTCACAGAAGAAATTCCACCCTGTTTTATAGGGTCACTAAGAGTCGGAATCAATTAGATGGCAGGAAGCGGTCACTAGCTAGGTCCCCTATTTCGCTACCTGTGTTTTAAATCCCACCCCTTCCTACCAGCTCAGATTATCAGCCCCCACACACACCTTTTTTTTAACCATATCCCTTTCTAACTATTTTTACATTTGTTCAAATCAACCCTGCCTGAAAGCCTCCCTCCAACCCACATTCCTCTCTCTCACA